ACTCTACACAAATATCCCACATGACGATGGTGTAAGGGCACTTGTTGAATCGTATGACACACACAACCCTGTCGCTTATCCAAGCAAGAAAGTAATTGAAATCTTCACAAGACTTGTACTCGATTTGAACAGCTTTGAATTTAACAACCAGTACTATCTTCAAATCAGCGGTACGGCAATGGGTACAAGAATGGCCCCAAACTACGCCAACATATTCATGCACCACATAGAGTCCAATTTTCTTTCATCTTGTAATATCAAACCATTACTCTATAAACGGTACCTAGATGATATATTCATAATTTGGACACATTCGGAAAACGAGCTCCTCAAATTCATACAGGCATTCAACCAGGTACACCCCAGCATTTATTTTACACACACCTACTCTAACACTGAAATAAACTTTCTTGATGTACTCATTCGAGTTGACGATGGTGCGTTGGTAACTAACGTATACAGAAAACCTACAGACAGGCAACAATACCTGCACTTCAAAAGCTGCCACCCGCGACATTGCAAGACCAGCATTCCCTATTCCCAAGCACACAGATTTCGACGAATCTGCTCTCGCACCGAGGACTTCCACAAAAACAGCACACATATGCGCGAAGTACTCCTTAATCAAGAATACCCACCAGCTATCATCGATGACGCCATCAAAAAAGCTGAAAATCTGGACCGCCAGATTCTTCTCAACCACCAGAGAAACGCCGACCAACACCGCAACAAAAACTTGCTATTAACTTTCACGAGCAACCCACCGAACATAAACAAGGTCCTAAGAAAACACTTTAACATATTGGAACAGAGCGTGCGACTATCCAAAATTTTCACTTCTCCTCCTTGCGTTGTATACAGAAGGCCGAAAAATATAAAGGATCATTTAATAAATTCAAAGATAGGTGTGAAACCTCAAATTGGGTGTCACCCTTGCGGAAAAAGCAGATGCAGGGTATGCAAACACATGCAGACAACGACAGAGGCGAAAAGCACCCACTCGGATTTTAAGCACAGGATAAGAGGTGCACTAGACTGTGACTCAGACAATGTCATATACCTCCTGGAATGTGGGGTATGTAACAAGCAATACGTGGGCCAGACAGACACTCCGTTTAGAATTAGATTCAACAACCATCGGGCACATGTACGATCTCTTCCAGGCCTTCCACTTTCAAAACACTGCACATTAAAAGACCACAGCTTTGATGACATCAGGGTTACACTACTAGAAAACAACTTTCGAACAATCAGAGAATGGGAACAACGGGAATCTTATTTTATCTACAAATTTAACACGATAAAATACGGAATAAATGAACACCCAGGCACTCTGTCTGCGTTACGACCGCTAAAAGACGCAAACGCTTCTCTCTAATCAGTCCGGTTTCATTACGACAATAATATTACCCGCTAACAAAGCTTTTGGCCTATGCATCTGACAACATAGAAATGATTTGCCTCATCAAGCACAGCCGGAACGCACAGATAAGTGGTCCCGGAGGTCGTACAGTCGCCCCCCCCCCTTTTTTGCTTTTTTTCTTTTTTTCTTCGTCAAGCTTCAACGCACATTCTGTTCCTTCACTGACAAGGAGCTGACAGCTAGGTGGTTTCGTTAACTTTTTCCTACATGCGCGCATATCTTCCCAGTGCGCCGCAACTGTGTGGTGACTGTCCCGGAGTGGTACAGTCTCCCCCCCCCCCCCCCGTTCTTCTTCTTTTTTTTTTCCTTCGTTAATTCTTTAACGCACATTCTGTTCCTTCACTGACAAGGAGCCAATGCATATAATGAATATCGATGGGGGTGCCTCATTCACCGGCTTTTTCGCTCCTCCCGATGCCACCAGCATGCACTTAAAGTGCTTAAGCCCTCCCCATTAACTTGTCATACACTTCAAAGAGGAACGAGCCGCCAGCGGACTACACGGAAAGGTGAAATACAAAAACGGCGGCTCCCTGCCCACTTGGGGAAGTGTGGGTGCGGGGGAGGTATTGTTGACAATGATGACATTCCTCATCTACCTCTGCCCTACTCTGTTGAAATGCTGCCCCTTTCTAATTACGCCATGTCGGTCTTGCTTCTTCTCCTAGATTTTCTATATTTTATTTAATGTTTGTCCTCCCGTTTCGCTGTTTCTTCCTTTTTTTTTTCTCTCTCTCAATTGACCCCTCCCCTCCTGTCTCGACAGGATATAAAAAGGCACGGAACATGTGTAAATAGTATTATGCCTTGAAAAAGACAGGGTTCCTGTCGAAACGTCGGCACAATAAACAGTTGTTATGTGAAAGCGCATCTACTTTCATATTTATAACCTTGCGGCAACCGAAGTTATTCTTCTGCATATAAGCCTTATATATATATATATATATATATATATATATATATATATATATATATATATATATATATATATATATATTAACAGGACACCTTTAGCCCAATTCCCACGTCCAATATGCAACGCTCATCTTGCTAGCGTGCCTCTTTTTCTGATTATGCTTTGGCGGTTAACATGCACAGATATCACAGTAGTTTGTTTATTAAATTTATCATGGGCATTAGTTGTCAGTATAGAGATGTTCCAAGCGTCAACGAGGATACATGCATGTTGAACAAGGCTATAGCTTCTAAACACCAAATAATACATTCAGCAGACCCCCCTTTATCAATACACAGTAAACATTTGTTTACCCCGGTAAAGGTGCATTTTACTTTCGTGTTGTATGATGATTCCAATGACCGGGAGATCAACTATGAATTCTCAACAAATAATTGCTGTTATATTTCTTTCTAATGAGTAACACTTTTTTTTATATATTCAGGGTTGCGTGTATTATAATTTGCCTTGCTTGTTAATAGCCTGAACACTGTTTCTGAAGCTGCAAATAATATATTATTGATATTCTTTTATTACTGATACTAACGTATTATCAAATTCTCAACCCTTTTCTTTTAAAATGTATAATTTGTGGAATTAGAGGCATACTTCATTGCTTACTCTCATTGTGGCATTAAAGGCATACTACATTGCTTACTCTCATTGTATATCTATTAACATTTCTCAGGGGCTCCCAGGCACATGTATAAATACACCAATACAATTTCTCTTCGAAAGAACAAAATGCGGGTGATTATAACATTAAACTATCCATTGTTGCTTCCTTTCGAAGTGGTCGTTAGCTGTATATGATTGGCGTAAACAGTCTTTGTCATGCACGCAGCATCTTTTTGTTACGTGAAGCAACAATTGACATGAAAATAATCCTTCGCGTAATGGCCAGATATGCTCTACCACTTAAAAATGGAAGAATAAACTTTTATCAATGTGGCATATTATATTTATTTGGTTCTCGGCATTTAATATTTTCTGTGTGCCACGAACTCGCCTGCTTGTTATATGACGTCACGGAGCCAGAAAGCATCTCCTTCTAAATGTAATGCAAGTAGACCAGCTGCCAATCACATAAGAAGTGGCTATTTATAGCAGCTGGCGAGATGGATTATGAGTTTAATAAAATATTTCCACCTGCAGCATAACGGTGTTTTGTAGTTTGTGCATGTATGCATCTCTATGGGCTCATATACTTGCTGAGAGAAAGAAGAGAGAGAAATAAGCAGCGTTGCACGTGTGTGCTTCTTTGCTGTCTGAGATGTATTTTGAGCTGTAACCGACAATTCAAGTTGAGTGAAAACTAACTATTCCGACTTCCAACTCAGCCGTTATAGTACTAAATACCAGTCTTTCACCTTCTTCCTGATTTGGTGGGTCAAGTTGTGGGGCAAGCCTAAAAGCTGAGCTTCCTACTAAGCTCCAGTCAACTGCTTTATGCGTGGCGACATTTGCAAGCTGCCGCTAAGGCTCTTAGTTACCACAAGCAAGGCTCATATAATTTATCAAAGACTAAAGCGGAAACATGTTTTAGAGTTCCGGTAAAGAAAAACTGAAGCATCAAAAACGATTCTACACGCTCATCAGCTTCCAACTGCTTCGACAGAGCAGCGGGGAGGGTATATTCTTTTCGAAGAAAATGATTTTCAGCCAGCAGCAAATGATTTGACCGGTCTATAAACAATTTGCTCGTTTCCATCTGTAACTTTATTAATAAGTCACAGCAAAATTAAAGCATGACAAGTCATGTACTATTATCGGGCTCCTGTGCAGCGCTTGCCTGCTCTGCAGTACTACAGCACAAGACGCGAAAAGGCCGCGTAGGCAACCTGCACCGGAAAGAGCCTACAAAAAAAATGATCACAGCGGAAATGTTGGCAAAATTTCATTATGTTGTAACAGAGCCTCGAACATTTTCATTTTCTCGTAATAACATAATTGAGTGAGTGCTGTTGTGACAAAAAAAGTACCCTTATGCATGCAGCCAAGAGTGAGCACTGTCGAAAGGGGGGGGGCTCACACTCCTTTCGCCCCTGGCTAATACGCCCATGACGGCGACACTTACACACATGCTACGGGAAGGTAGGAGCACTCATAGTAACACTAGCCTGGATAGGTGGGAGAGATCCTTCAGATGACCACGTCTGGACGACCAACAATTGGTCACCCAGCAGGCTCACGAAGTGGCCGCTAGGTATTCCTTCTCGGTCCAAACACGGGAGACGCCCAATACATGCTGAGCGCTTTCTTCAGGGCATAAATTGTTTGCAGTGGCACCTAAACTTTTCTTGCGGTATAATTGTTGCATGCACATTGTTACGTACGAGTGGTGTCAATACTATGTGCGCCTTTCTCTTTGAAAGCTCTGGATGTCATCATGGTGCATTTATATTGCCTAACGCTAAGACAAATGAGTAGTTTCAATTAATAGCCCTATTCGATGCAGCATTGTATTGAATTTTACCTTGAACTGCCGGGTCAGTCACTTCCTATATGAAACGAGGAAATGGGCAGAAGCTATACGATGCAAGAGAAGGGTTTGTTTTGCATGCAGTGAATTTCGAGAAGGCATTCAACCCCGTGAGTAACATTGGATATCATTATTTGCAGATAAGCGGACTGACGCTGTCAGCTGGTGAAGAAGACCTAGCGAAGCTTTACTTGGCTACTCTGCAAGCATTGGCGGTGAGTAGAAAAGGACACCAGTTTCCTTGCAGCATACTAGTATGCAAAATGTGAATTCAGCTGCCCAACTGATAAATCGAAATTTCGATAGCGTTTTGGGTGCACTTTAATAATGTAAAATTACGAGGTATTTTTGCTGCATAAGTTTTCTAATTAAAAAAACTTCACGAAGTACTGACATCGAATATACACCTGTAATGATTTCAGCATCCGTGAGTAGTCATCAACACCATAGTAGCGATTCGCTACCCAACATGCCACTGAGGAAAAAATAACTGTCCAGTTATGTCACTGGTATCTATGTAGCACGAAACTAAATGGTCGGGAACCCCGCCATTTCTTAGCACTGGTGGCGCTTCTTTGCTTACACCTGCGGACCGACCACTTGGCTAGGTGAATTGGTGTCGAGATAATCAGCTGCTCAGCTGACATATATCGTCTGCAGAACGCACACGTTCATCCATGCTTTGTCGCCAGCATCGCAAACAAAAGTGTTAAATATAGTGCTGAATGTTACAGTCAGGAGCTTAGATGGCCGCAATTCGCGACGTTACTGCTCATTTCGGGACATTTTAAATTGACAAATTTCGTGAAGCAGGGCTCCATTCTCTCTCCTCGAAAGTTTTAAATTTTCCTTGCGGATATATATATTGTCACGTGATTACAGAAAGACCACAACGTCTGTTCACAGAAGCAGCAGCATTGGACGTCGAGCGGAACCAAATGTTAGAGCACGAGCACACACAACAGTCCTCTTCTTTTTCACACCATGGCACATACTCGCATTGACATGGCTAAACCTGTTCCATGCCTGTGGCACTACCCCCCTTCCAAAATAGAAGTACCACCCTGATGATTAATGCCGATTAAAAGTTAAAATGATCGCGTACACGCACAAAGACGCATGATGAAGCAGTGTCAGGTGGCTCGGGGGTAGTGTGGCTTCATCCGTGACACATGAACAATGTCGGCCTGCTGGGAACATCGAGATCGCCGAGCTGTGTCTTCAAGCAGAATTTTGTAGTTGACGTCGGTGAAGCGCCATAGTACTCTATAAGGATTGAAGTAGCGGTGAAGTAACTTTTCCGAGCGGCCCCTTTGGCGAAAGGGGATCCAGAGCCACACCAGATCACCGGGTTGGTAAATAACATGACGATGACGGGTGTTGTACTTCTGCGAGTCGATGCGTTGTTGTTTTCGGATCCGCTCGAGTGCAAGCTGGCAAGCCACGTCGGTGAGCCGGATAAAGTCGTTCGCATCAGCAAGAATATCAGTCATGTCAGGCAAAAGCATGGCATCCAGCATCGCAATTGCTTCTCGGCCGTGAAGCAATCGGAAGGGAGTGAAACCCGTAGTCTCTTGAACCGCAGTGTTGTATGCGATCGTTACGTATGGCAAAATTTCATCCCAGCTTTTGTGATCGCGGTAAACGTACATAGATAGCATGTCAGCGAGCGTCTTGTTTAATCTCTCCATCAGACCATTGGTTTGTGGATGGTATGCGGTCGTTTTGCGATGAGCTGTTCCACTGAGTCTCATGACGTTTTGCATCAATTGGGCTGTAAAGACTGTTCCACGGTCAGTGATAAGAACTGTTGGCGCTCTATGATGAAGAAGGATGTTGTTTCTGAAAAAAAAAATGCAATCTCAATGGCGGTGCCTCGTTGTAGGGCTTTGGTTTCACAGTACCTCGTTAAATAGTCAGTAGCGACTACGATCCAGCGGTTGTCATCATGTGACTTCGGGAAGGGCCCAAGCAAGTCCATGCCGATTCGGTCAAACCATTGTGACGGTGGTGCAACAGGCTGCAATAAAACAGCAGGGCGCACAGGTGGGGCTTTACGGCGTGGGCAATGATTGCACGTTTTAGCGTAATGCTTGACATCCTGGGTGAGCTTTGGCCAGTAGTAGCGAGTCCGAATCCGGGCAAGGGTACGTGCGAATCCTAGGTGACCAGAGGAAGGCTCGTCGGGGCAGCCAGATAAAATGTCAGCACGTAGCTCTGGTGGAACGATGAGGAGGTATTCAGTCGCATAAGGTTCGAAGTTCTTTTTGTAGACGATGTAGTTGTGGAGACAAAATGACCCTGCACGTGCGAATGCCGATGGTGGACTCGAGCTGTGACCTTGAAGGTAATTGATAAGTTGTCGGATCTCTGAATCATTCCACCGTTGTTGGGTCAAGTCAGATTCACAGACTGCACTAAGAAAATGGCCATAGGTATCATCGTCACTCGATGTCATCACGAGGGAAGCGCGCGAAAAGCAATCAGCATCAGTGTGCCTGCAGCCCGACTTGTAGACGACAGTAACCTCAAATTCTTGAAGGCTCAAGCATTACCTCGCGAGGCGCCCTGAAGGGTCCTTGAGATTGGCCAACCAACAGAAGGCATGATGGTCCGTAACTACTCTGAATGAACGGCCATACAGATACGGTCGGAACTTTGTTATCCCCCGAATAACAGCAAGGCATTCCTTCTCCGTGGTCGAGTAGTTAGTTTTCGCAGATGACAAAATGCGACTGGCATAAGCGATGGGACGTTCAGCACGGTCTTGCCACTGGACGAGCACTGCACCAAGACTGATGTTACTTGCGTCAGTGTGAAATTCGGTGGCGGCATCTTCATCAAGGTGTCCTAGTAAGGGTTCACTCTGAAGGCATTGTTGAAGCTTGGAAAAAGTGGCTCTCTGCTCTGGACCCCACAATAAAGGAGTATCCTCCTTCTTTAAGAGGATAAGGGGTTCAGCAATGTTAGCAAAGCTCTGGACAAAGCGCCTGTAGTAGGTGCAGAGACCCAAAAAATGGTGCAAATCTCGTATGTTCTAAAATGGAGGAAATGCAGCAACAGTCATGGTCTTTTCTGGGTCTGGTCGAATGCCATCGTGACTGACAAGGTGGTCGAGGAACTTTAGTTCTTTGTAGCCGAAATGACACTTCTCCGGTTTTAGCGATAGGCCTGTGGATCGAATAGCGACGAAGACAGACTCAGGTCGTTGTAAATGTTGCTCAAATGTTTTGGAAAAAACAACGACGTCATCTAAATAGATGAGGCAGGATTCCCACTTCAGACCGGACAGGACAGTGTTCATCATCTAGAAATTTGCCGGGGCAGAGCACAATCCAAATAGTAACACTTTGAATTCGTAGAGGCCATTGGAAGTTATGAATGCTGTTTTTTCCCTGTCATGTTCATCGACCTCGATCTGCCAGTAGCCACTGCATAAATCCATTGATGAAAATTATCGGGCATGTCGAAGTCGATCCAGTGAGTCATCTATGCGTGGGAGAAGGTAGACGTCTCTATTCGTCACTTTGTTGAGCTTCTGGTAATGGACGCGAAATCGAAGAGTGCCGTCTTTCTTTTTAACAAGTACAACGGATGACGTCGTCGTCGAGTATCTGTTTCACCTGAAAACAATTTGCCTCTTGTTATTTTTGCGACATGCGGTAGGCGTGCTGTTGTATAGGCCGTCCAGTAGGGTGCTTCACGGTTGGGGCCTGCTTGATTTTGGAAGTGGACACAAAGCAGTCACTATGCATACGTAAAATCATGTGTATCTGCTGCTGCTGCGCAAAGGATAGCTGGCAATTCACATCAACTGTACTGGCTAATGCAGTGTCACCTTCAGCAGCAGTGGCAATCGGAGCGATAGGGGAACATTCGTCATCATCAGTGGCTTCAAAGTTCGCGATCGCTGTTCGCTTTGCCAAGTGTTGGTACTGGCCGCCGAAATTCGTGATTAGAAGCTGAGTCCTCAGATGTTTTAATTGTACGATAGCGGGCGCGACACAAATCTGCCGAGCCAAGAGCACCGAGAGGTTAGTTTCCGCGATACCACTATTCTTGTTGTCACAGTCGCTCTCCACAGTTACCAACTTACTGGCTCGCGGCGGTAGTGCGATGGTGTCGTCAGCGATTCAAAGCGTTGTGGTCTGCACAACTGCATCCTTTTGTGTGGCAGTATGGTCGTTAGAGAACGTTATGAACAGGTCGCGAAGGTTAATAACGGCTCCATGCTTCCAGAGAAAATCCATTTCGAGAATTAGCTTTTGGGAGCATTCGCGCAATACGACGAAGGAAGCAATGTATGTCGACTCACTAATTCGGAGCCGGGCCGTGCATATTCCCAGCGGTGTCAATAGGTGACCTTCCGCTGTCCGGAGGTTGGGTCCATGTCCCCAAGGTGTCGTTACTTTTCTTAGCTGTGCAGCGAGGTCAGCACTTATAACAAAATAATTGGCACCTTTATCTACCAGAGCGGTTAGCGGGTAGTTGTTGACAAGCACAGAGATGCGAGCAAAGGCACGTTTGTTGTCGATGGCACATATCGGTGAAAGGATGTCGTCGCATGTCAGCAGGCAGTTCGGGGGAGGGTCTTGTAACGGTCAATCAACAGTGGCCTCACTCCCAGAGGTCGCTGTTCTTAGTTTCCCCGGCACGGGCTCGTGGATCTAGGCGATCTTCCTGCAAGGACGTTCGCAAAGGTCGATTGTCGGCCAGGTGACGTGAAATGCCGTGGAGACGGTAAGCGGGATTGGCGACACGGAAGGGTTGAGGATTGCTGGCTTGCCAAGTATTCGGCGATAGCACGGGGCCGCTCACCATCTCTTGGTCGACGAGCATCCGGACGAAAACCAGGAAGACCCATGTGCCTGTATGCGCACTCACGGTAGATGTGACCTGGTTCACCACAGTGATAACATAGAGGCCTGTTGTCGGGAGCACGCCATGTACTAGATTTCCGTGTAAGGGGTGGGTTGCCGTACTGCAGTAGTCCTGAGTAGAATGACGGCGCCGCCTGCGGGGTGGACGAATGGGACGGATAGCCAACAGCCGGTGGAGTGTGTATTGCTTCCGCGTATGTTAATAGCGGAGCTTCGGCTGGACGCGGGGCCGTCATGGGTTGAACCTCGGCTGCACGCAGAGTCATCATGGGGTGCACCAGCTGCCGGACCTGTTCGCGAACGACATCCGTTAGAGCAGCAACATGGGGCGGAGA